TGTCTGAACACCCCCCTCTCACTTGAAAGTGACGCCGACGTTGGGCCCGCAAGTTCCTGAAGTGCTTGACTGGTTGATCCATGATATCGCGCGGATGACGCGCAACCAACTCACCAGGCATAGTCTCCAGATGAGACAGAGAGGCGGGCTTGAGCGTCTTGTGAATTATACGTGCCGACCTGGGCTCAACCGCGCACTCTCAAATATCTTTGGAATAATACTGCGCCGCTTGACGTGGGACCCGCGCTGCCGCGCGCTTGGCGCTGACCTCGAACGACTGGAGAATGGATGAGTCCTGCTTGCCGCTGCCGTTCAAGAGATCGATCCACGCTCGCCACGGTGGATCGCGGCCAGCCCTGAGAACAGCATGGGCGCCTTCGGGGCGATCGCCTTTCAGTTTCAAGCATGCTTCTCTATACTTGGCACCTGCACCGCGCCGTTGGCCCTCTTGGAGTGTCTGACAAGGCCCGCCACGCCAGCGAGCAACCTGGCCCACCGCTGCGCCTTCAAATCGCTAAGTGGGGCCGCCTCCGATGGGTGGCTTCTCGCGCCGGCTTGGCTGTGATCTGCGGTCCGCGAGCCCCCGCTCGAAGAAAAACCGCGATGTGCAGGAGGGGCGCCTTTGTGGCGCACGCGCGTTACATGGCGGTAGAGCGCGCGGGCTCGGGTCTAGAGCCTAGAGGCTACGAAATGCAGCAGCGGGGAGTGGGCATTCTCTAAACACTGCGACCCAGGGGCGAGAACTACCTGGAGAGCGTTTCTAAATCCCGGGCGATAGCGGCCGTCGCCGGCGAGGGGGCGGAGGGGGGCGGCGACCTCGCGTTTCGCGCCGGCGCCGTCTGGGAAGTCTTAGGAATAGCCAAAGACAGCGATTATGGCAGATACCTATCAGGATCTGCTGTAGGGATCTGCTACGACAGAGCGCTTCTCGTCTCCTTCTCCTCCTGTTCCCCCTCCCTCTCGTCGGCGTCGTCGTTGCGGTCGTCGTCGTCGTCGTCGTCGTCGCGGCGCTCCTCCCTTCGCCTTCCCCGCCGCATTCTGCCGGGCGCGTCGCGCATGGACGGGCGAAGGGGGGGGGATCGGGCGGGGGGGGGGTGCGAGAGAGGCGGGGCCAGGACGAAACGATTTGTTTGACAACACCTATGTCGTCGATTCGCGCTCTGGGAGGCGTCTGGGCGCACCTGGGCTTGACGCGGGGAATTGCCGCGTTGGCGTCGCCCTGGCCCCCCTGTCGATGTCCTCGTGCAAGTAGCATTCCTGGCCGAACGCGTCGCGGTGTTCGCGGGCCGCCGGCGCTCGCGGGCGCGTGCCCTGCCTCGACCGAGCGGCCCAAAATTAGGGGCCGTCGGGCATTGTTTGCAACGCATTTGCTGGTGCGAATCGTCGCGCGCATCTCGCGCTGCTGCCGTTTCAGTGGTGCCGCCAGCTGTCTCCCGAGCAAGTCGCCCAATCGTGGCAATCATCACTGTTCGCAGAGCGCCGCTACGCAGGGAGAGACATCGCGCCGCGAGCCTGTTGCATCTCGTTATTTTGGAGCGCGCGCGCCCCCCCCCCCTCATTTCAAATTTCAAGCTTCGCGCGGCCCGCTTAGCTTCGACCGGAAGAGGTGCGCTCTCGACCCGCGAATCAAATTACCCCAGTGCGACCTTACCTAGAAGTTGGAGCCCCTAGCAAAGCAGCGTTAGTTGCTATGCGATGCTATGCCATGCTATGCTGCGCTGTGCTATGCTATGTTATGCTGCGCTATGATATGCGATGCTATGCTAAGCTGTGCTATGTCATGCTGCGCTGTGCTATGCTATGCCCTGCTATGCGATGATGCGCTGTGCTGTGATGTGCTGCGCTATGCTATGCTATGCTATGCTATGCTGCGCTATGTTATGCTATGCTGGGCTATGCTATGATACGCTGTGCTACGATATGCTATGCTGCGCTATTCTATGCTGTGCCATGCTATGCTCATGCTCAGCGAAGCTAAGGTGAAGGTGAGCTAGGCTAAGATAAACCTGAGCTAAGATGAAGCTAAGCTAAGCTAAGCTAAGATGAAATAAGCGAAGCTAAGATGAAATAACCAACGCTTAGCTAAAGGGACGTAGCTGGGGGAACCGCGGGGCGGATCCCGGGGGAACTGCTCGGGGCGGGGCCCACTGCCTGGCCCCTTTCTGCCAAGAGAGTAAGAACCCTACTAGGCAGAGCCCAGGTAGGGAACGAACATGTTCTGGGGCGCGCGGTGACCGCGAGCGGTTTCAGAGCTCGCTCGCGCAGGGAGGGGCATCATTCCCGGATAGCTCCTTGAGAGCTACGCATGGCTTAGAGAAGAAGCCTGCCGGCAAGAGTCGGCCAGCTTCCTCTCCGCAGATGCCGGGCAGGCAGCGCCGCGGCAGCTCGTTGAACCCTCGCGCGCGTCCTGGGAGCGTTTGCCCACTTGCCCCCAATCCGTGCGCCGCGAGATTTTTTGCGCAGGTCATGGGCGGCATTTCCTTCGAGCTTGCGAGCTTCCCAGGCGCTGCCTTGGGTTCCTTGCGCGCGCCCCCCCTTCCCGGGTGGCCCCTTGAGAGCCACTCGGGGAATCGAAAGATGCCGGCAGGCAAGGGTGGGCCAGCTTCATCTCAGCGGCTGCCAGGCCGACAGCGTCGCGGCAGCTCGCTTGAACCTGCAGCGCGCCCAGGAAGCGTTTTCCGTTTCGTTCCCAATGCGTGCGCCGCGAGCCTTTGCGCTGCTCCCTCGCGGCGGTGCCCGGGATCGCGCGCAGCTCCCACTTCAAGCTTGCAAGCTGCCCGCGCATTAAATCGAACATCCTTGCAGGAGTCTCGCGCGTGCTCGCTGGCGGCTCGGACTCCGCCAGACGGCGCTGCTATCGGGGTTTGGGATTGCACGTGCGCCGCTGGCTTCTTGCATTTTAAGGTTCCCGTGGGCGTGGGGTCACTCTAATCTTCCCGATCGAAAGTAAGTGCCCGGCGGTGTTGGCGGCGCGCGCGCTTCCCAGTGCCCCCCTCGCTCAGGCTCTTGGCAGGAATGACCAAGTGTAGCATCTGTTCCGCTGCTAGCAAGGAGTCTGGGCGCGTCGGAGGCAGCGATCCGCGGCTCGCGCTTGCTGTGGCAGCAGGCGCGGTGGAGATGGCGACGCTGGCGCCTGGCGGCAGATGCCAGACGTGGTCGCTGAAGGACATTCGGGCCCGCGACGCGTTTGGAGGTGGCCAGGGCGAGTTCGAGAGCTACTTCTTCGCGCTGGAGGCTGAAGTCACAGAGGTGGGCTGGAGGAACCTCTACGATGCGGCGGTCGCTCACAGTGGCCCCATCAGCATCGAGGATATCACTAATGCCGAGATCTTGGAGCTGTCAAGCAACATGGGTACGTTCTTGGCAATGAAGATGCGTGGGGAGACTCAGGCGATGATTAAACTTGCTGGCGCTGGTAACGAGTTCGCGGCTCTGGGGCAGATCCACTCAGACTATCGCCCTCGATGGGGGCGCGCCGGATCGCAGCTTGCTCGCTGCCGTTGTTCAGCCGAAATGGTAGGCGAGCGATGCCCACTGCAGGCGCAGCTCTGCAGAAGTTCTTCATGATTGGGGTCATCTGGTCACGCAGTGCGAGTTGGCAAGCCATGACGAGATCTCGGATGGGCCCAAGTGCGCGACCATCCTCGGGCACGCGCTTTTCCCCATCAGGAAGGCCCTCGATAATGCGAGCCAGGAGGTCAGGGAGAACTACGCAGTGATGCGGGCCAGAATTCGCGAGCAATGCGCGGGGAAGAACGCGAAGGTTTTTGTCCCGGGGCCCTCCGATTGGACGGGGCTCAGGGGCAGCGCCAGCGCAGGCGGGCGCCGTTGGCCAGGTCGACGCGATCGGCTGCGATGAGCGCCGCTGCGGCATCTTTGAGAGGCTCGGCCACGCGGCGGACCGGCGCTGGCTCAAGGGCACGGGCGCGGGCCCTAAGGCCAAGGGCAAGGACCAGAAAGGCAAGGGCGGCAATTGCGGCGGCTAGGCGGCAGGAGGCAAGGACAACCAAGACAATGCCCGCCACTGCTGCAAGAAGAAGGGCCGCATCAAAGCCGACTGCTTCAAGCTCGAGAAGGGTCCGGGGGAGAAGAGGGGGGGCGGCGTCAACCTCGTCGAGCAGGTGGGCGAGGTCGATGCGATGGTCGCGCCGAGCGACGACGACTCCGACGAGCGCGGCTTCTGCGTGGCGCTGGAGAACTACGAATTCTAGGACTCGATCGGGGGCAACGGGGGCTACGACTTCCAGGGCGCGATCGGGTGCCAGGTGGACTACAACGGCCAGGGCCCGATCGGGGACCGGGTGGAATACAGCGACCAGGACTCGATGGGAGACCAGCTGGAGGACGAGTTCTCGTGCCACCTCTGCAACGACGAGCTGGCGATGGCCATCGGCAATCGTGCGCAGCGTCTGGACTGACGTCGACGAGTTCTTGATGCTGGACGGCGGGGGCGGCGGGCATTGTGCGAGGCTGAGCTTTGCCAAGCACAGCGCGGTGGAGGTGGCGATTTCTAAGATGACCGCCGAGGGTGAGGCCCAGGTTCCTTTCGCGATGGGAGGTCGAGCGGCTTGCCGGGCAAAATTCAAGATCGGGCTCGCAACTCGCTCAGCACTGGTAGGGTCTACGACGCGGGCTTAGACGTGGTCTACTCGCACAGCTGCGAGTGCCGAAGAGGAGCGCGTTCGGGGTGCCAGCAAACGCGCGCAAGGACATGGAGGACGCCGGGCGGGCGGTCAAGAAGTGAAACCGGCTGGCGTGAAGTCGCTATCCCGACACCCCGATGGGCATCGTCGCGGCCAACGAGGACGTGGTGATGAAGGACAAGGGGGCCGTCCAGGCTGATGGAGCTGCAGCGCTCGCGCCCATGGCAGAGGGCGTTGGGTCGGCTTCGTCGGGGCCCGGTCGCGCGGCTCCCGGGGCAGGTCTCCCGGCGGCGGCTGGGCCAGCAGCAGGGCCACTGGGGCCTGAGGCAGTGCCGCGTCCAGTGAGGGATCCAGCAGGAGCAGAGCTGGGGCCAGGCTCTCGAGTCGACCTGCTGCGAGCTCGTCCGGGGGAGCTGGGCGCTGCGATCTACGGCGCGGAGGAGGAGCTGCGGGTCGGCCTCAAGCACGCCGAGCTCAAGCACGAGCAGGGCCTCGACTTCAAGAAGGCAGTTGAGGAGCGGCACCAACAGCAAGTTGACGGCCAGCCTGCGACGGAAGCCAGGGTCGTCGAGGCGCCTTGCACCCCGACGGAGGTCGAGGAGGAGCAGCGGAGGCCTCTGGCCACGCGGCGTTCAAGAAGTGGTGCCTTGCGTGCGCGTTCGGCTCGGCATAGGCCCCGATGGCCCGCGCATCAAGCAGCCAGTCTGCGGCGGCAGCGCCAGGCGTGGGCTGATTTTCTTCGACTGGGCTTTCAGAGGCACCGAGGACACCGAGAAAGTTTGCGACGAGGCCGACAAGGGTCCTGGCACGTCTCTCGCGGCTGCCGACCGCAGCGCGGGGCTCCTCTATGGCAGCGCGCTGGGGAGCAAGGCCGCGGGCGATCACGCGACCAAGCAACTCATGAGTTTCACGGGGCAGCTGGCCTACCAGAGGTCCGAGCTCAGGGGCGACGCTGAGCCCGCGGCGAAGTCGCTCCAGGACAAGGTCGTCAAAGCGAGGGGCGAGAGGAACCTGGAGACCAGGGTTTCACGGGGCAAGACGAGGGGCAGCAAGTCGATGGGCTTCATCGAGACGCGGATTCGGTGGCGGCGTGGGCGCTTGGAGGCCAACAGGGTTCAGGTCGACCCCCCCCCCTCTGGCCGCTCCTCGCCCACCGCGCTGCAAACGTGGCGAACTGGCGCGGCAGGGGCGCGGGCGGCTGCGCAGCTGACTTCGCGGTCTACGGCGCGAGCTACACTGGCGTTGTGGCGCCGTTCGCCGAAGCGGTGATGGCGAGTGCCCCTGTCTCCAAGACGGGTCAGCGGCGCTTGATGGGAGGCCCCGCCCACCAAGGCAGACAAGGCCTGGGCGAAATGGATCTGGGCCGGCAAGACGACCAACAACGATGAGCGCATCATTCTCGCAGTGGCTGGGAAGGCGACCTGTGGGGCCGCCCGCAGGATGCCGAAGGTCAAGAGCCATGACAAGGGGCTGTTCCTGAAGGTCTGCGGCGAGCCCTGGAAGGAGAAGATCGCCCACGTGCCCCGCTCTCTCGCCGCGGACGGCGGCCAGGGCGAGGTCGCGCCGACGCCGCTGGAGGCCGCGGGCACGGAGGCCGAGGGGGCTGTCCCGGGGGCAGCGCCGAGTGGAGCGGGGGGCTCTTCGGGCCCAGACTCGAAAGCGGGACCCCCAGGACAACCAGGGCCCCGGGCTTCAGAGGCCCGAGCTCCTGAGCCTCAGCCTGGGGCACCAGGGGCCCGAGCTCCAGAGCCGCGACCGAGGCTCGGGCGAGATGCTGAAGGCTCCGCGGAGGCTGGCGGAAGCTCGAGCAGTAGACCTGTCGGCCACGAGGGGGCCAGTGGCAGCGGCGGACGTGGCGCTGCGATACCTGCTGCGGAGAGCTCGTCGAGCTCGCCTACGTGGCCGAGGTCTCCGAACGGCGACGCCGTCCTTGGGCGGCGCGAGGCGAAGAGGGCGCGCCTCGAGGACCCGATCGTCGGGGTCATCGAGGACATCAGGGAGCAGCTGAACTATTCGGCGCTCCTGGCGGCCAGGGAGCTCACTCACTGGGGCAACAGCGGCTTCCCCGTGGAGGGGGCGGCGGGGGCGATCGACAAGGGCCTGAAGCTCTGCGACGTGTTCGGCATCCACTCGGCCCACCCCCGCGACGCCGCCGACGGCGCGAAGAAGGTCGACACGAAACGGGGGAAGAAGGATCGTGCAGGGTCCTCAAGTACAGGCTCGTGGGCGGGGAGTTCGCTTGACCTCAGGAGATCGATGCTTTGTTCGCGCCCGGGTCGACATCTCTAACCAGCATCGTCATCGATTTCCTCAGCCTGACGGGCGACGACCACCCAGGCGACCCGCCTGCGATTGCAGTCGACGACGCGACGAGCGCGCGCTATCAGCTACCCGAGAAGGAGGAGTTCCACTGCGACCCTCAGCCTGAGTGGTTTGCTGCGAGGGCCAAGGCAGGCCTCAGCGCGGATGTCGCTTGGAAGCCGGAGAAGCAATTACCTGGCAGGAGGGCGGCGAGCCGTGAGTGGGTTAACTACGCTGCTGAACACCTCCTGGGCTGCGGGTTCGAGCGGAACGAGACCCGCAGTTCCACCGCAAGCCGATGACTCGGCTGGGCCGGGAGTCGCGCGCGGGCGACTTCTACTGCGCGGGCCGCAGGGGTAAGATGGAGGGCGCCCCGCCGGCGATCAGGGCCAAGCTGCAGCTGAAGGACAGCGACGTCGTCATTGAGGGCCGCTCCGGGCACCTGAAGCGCGCCAGGGGCAGCGAGGGCATTGCCCTCGAGGCGCGCGGGAAGCACAGCGCCGACATCATCGCCAACGGGGCTGAAAGGGCGCGAGCGCGGTCGGGGTCCCAGACTTGGGGCCAGAGGAGATCCTTGAGCACTCTCCGCCGCTCGTCCACAAGCAGGTCGCGAGGTCCCTTTGCTCAGGGCCGCGCCGACGTCCAGCGGGCCGCGGGCGCGTTGTTCGCCGACCTGGCGACGCCCACTGAGCACGCCTGGAGGAGGCTGTTGCGGCTCGGGCGCGTCCCCCCCGAACGTCGACGCGACGGTCTACGAGAAGTGCGCGGCCCACCCGGGGGGGTTCTCGGACGGCGACCACGGAGGCGAGGAGGCGAAGCGCAAGAGCATTACGCGCGGAGTTCTGCACTTGGCGACGCTGGCGCGGAGGCAGGACTTGATCGCGCTCATTTCGGGCGAGTGCGAGTTCTGCGCGCTGAGCACCGTGGCGATGGATGGCAAGATGATGAGGGGCCTGCTCGCGTAGCTCGGGTTTCGTGTCGAGTGGACCTTGGGGACCGGCTCTTCGACAGCTCGGTCGACGTCCTTGGGGCAGGGCGTCGGGGAGGTCCGCCGCCTGGACGCGAGAGCGCCGCGGGTCCAGCAGGCGACCCGCCTGCTCGGCCTGAAGGTCTCGAAGTGCAAGGGCAGCGAGAACCCCGCTGACATCGGCGCGAAGTCCCACGCGGCCAATGTGCACGAGCAGCTCTGCAAGCAGGTGGGTCTACGCCGTCTTGGCGGCGACCTAGGAGCAGTTCGCGAGGTCGAGGTGAACGCGGCGATCGAGGAGCTGGGCCGCGCGGCCCGCGGCGCAGTTTGGCGGGGAGGCCGCGAGCAGCCCGTCGTTCAACGGCGCGATTATGGCTCTTTGCCTTGCGCTTCAAGCCCAGCAGTGTGAAGCAATTGGAGACGCCAGCGGGAAGACGGACTACGGCTACATGATGATGCCCATGCTGCTCCTTTTTCACTTGGCTTGTCATGCTCTTGATGGGTTTCGTGGCAGGGTGCTGGTGTTCGAGAGGCCGCGGCAAGGCCTTGCCCCCGCCGAAAGGGGGTGATCGAGGGCATGGGTGAGATGGAGGAGATGACCGAGAGCAGGAGCAAGATGATACAGACGAGTGGAGTGCAGGGGTTGCAGGGCGGCCGTTGCGTGTACCATCTCGTGGGTAATGATTGTGTGGTGCACTTGGAGAGGAGCTGCAAGTGCTGTCGTGGCGCTCGTGACGTCGAGCGCCGCCTGAAGCAGGGCTGCGTTTGCAAGGTATGTGCCAAAAAGATGTGGTGAGTGAGCCTTGACTCGCGTTGGCTGCACCGCTCGAATCGAGCGGAGTCTTCAGGCCACTTTTCCACACCATGTACCCGGCAGGGGCCCTGACAGGAAACACGGCTTTCCAGACACCTTGTGCCCGGCAGGGGCTTTGGCAGGAAACACAGTTTTCAGGCAAGTGTTCTGGAGAGAAGGGGTCCACTGAGAGGGGGCGTGGGAGATCTCTGGTAAATTCCAGTGTCCCCCTCTCTCAGGTTGATGACAGGAATGATCAAGCGTGCGTTCCGCTGCTATCTCGGCTCAGACAAGTTGGGGCGTGTTGGAGGTTCGCCTTCACGCCGAGGCGAAAACAAGTTTACGCCACCCCGCGCGCCCCCAACACAATAATAAACAATGGGACAACAAGAGGAGGAGCATGAGGAAGCAAAAGGGAGAGGACGACGACGACAACGAAAACGCCATTTCCCCTCCAGGACCCGGGAACGCCCACACGCCCCAGAGCACGAATCGATAACACAAATGTGCCCAAACAGGTCGTGTCGGTCTAGTCTGGCCTGCCTTCCTCGGCCACTTCCTCCTCCTGACACCCTCGTCAATTGCTTTATACTTGTATGAAACATATTGCAATCGAATGGAGAAGACGGGGACGACCGGAGGAGGACATCTACGAGGATGAGGAGGAGGAGGAGGAGGAGGAGGAGGAGGAGGACGGAAAAGAGGAGCAGGAGGAGGAGGAGGAGGAGGAGGAGGAGGGGAATAGGAGGATAGTAATAAGGGAAACGCTCAGCCGTAGCAGATCCCTATAGGCATGCGCGCTCTGGCGCTCAGCACTTGCAAATCTATATAGGTATCTGCCATCCTCGCTGGCTTTAGTTACTCCGAAGCATTCCTGGACGGCGCCCGCTCGAAACATGACGCTACCAGGGGGACGGGGGGTCGCTTTCGCGAAACATGAAAATAATCTCCTGGCGCCGAGGCTCCATCCACAAATCGTGGGGAACGTTGGCCGCCGCAGCATTCCCTGTGCGACTGGCGGGGGGGTGCCCGAATTTGGAGGAAGAGCGCCACCACCCAGCCTGCTCGCAGGCTCGTCGGTCCCAGGGGGAGCGTCACCGCCACCCTTTCGAGATTTGTCAGAACTGCAATGGCCAGGAGAGGCAGGGAAAACGTATTTGATCGCCGACTTGGGTTCGCGCCAGGACAGAAGTTTCGCTCGTCGGCCCAGGGTTCTGGTTCATCTGGCCATTCAGTTAGGTCTAGGTCGAACTCGTCATCAAAATTGTCAGAGGGTGCCGTGAGGGCCTCCTCTTCCCGAAGGTGGGATTTGTAAGACTGCACACAGCCCCACACACACACACACAAATCATTAAAACGGATAGCTCCCTTGCCAGCCGCAAGCCTACGAGCAATATCATGTTTAGTTTCGGCAGTGCTACTCTAGGACCACCCAGAATACTCATGGCGAGGCCTAGGGAGCTGGGGCAACCTACAAGGGACCTCAATAACCATCGTGGGAAGCTGGAGGCCCGAACTCTTGAACTGGACAAGCAGGGCCATTTGGGGCTTCCACAGCACGCCTCTGATCTGCTGCACACTGCGAACGCAAGGAATGGCACTCTGATTGCGTAACACATTACCAGGGTGTCCTGACCCCTTGTTGTGTGCGCACACTTGCTTATCTTCTGCTGTTCTGACGATGCCCCCGGGACGTTGAGCAAAGTTCGACGCTCTGAGAGTCTCGGGAGTCATGTTGAAGTCTGTTAAGATGAATTTCCGGAGGCGAACTCATGCAAGCAGGCCTCCGACCTGTTGGAATCGCTACAAGTTTGCACCTCGCACGCCCAGACTGGGTATAGGCATGATGAGCGAGTAGCCAGCCCGATGGACCACCATCGGAAGAAAACCGTCAAAGCGTTCTGGCCGTCCTCCTTGAGGATCTTGGCGGCCGCAGTGGCCTCCTGCAGCTGTTGCATCTGGAAGTGCTGCTGGCCCAAGAACATCTCGCCTCCTTCATTGGAGCGAGCTTGCATATCAGATGTATTGCCCGCGCAGGATTATGCTACAATCGATGCTTCCACCGTATCGCCTTCTTGTCCAAAAGTGATGCACACTTGAATTACTCTCAACATATGTCCACGCCTTCGTTCTGAGGGCCGTGGCGTTAGCGTAGAAGAGCCACGTCACATCTCTCTGCGTCCTCTTCCTCCTTGGTGTCTGCAGGCCGAGACGAGCCATCAACAGTTTGTCAAGCTTCGGATGCTGAAGTGGCACGCCCCTTGCCCGACGCCTTGCAGTGGAGGATCTTGGCATTTATGTGGGCCGCTGATATCTTCTGCGCCGCCTGGTCCAGAGCCTTCTGACGAACCTCCTCCGCTAACTTTGCATCCTGAGCGCTTGTTGCCCCGGTAGCCGCGCCCACAGCATCGCCAGGCGTAGCAGAGGACGCCGCCGCCACCGAGCCGTCCTTGCCAGCACCCTCGGCGTTGTTGGCAGTTGATTGCCCTGAGTTGGACTTGCGCTTCTTCGCCAGGCGATCGACGTACCCTTGCTACAGCTTGCTGGTTTGGGCGAGCCACTCGCGGACCTGCTTCTCCTTGCCCTCGAGGTCGCCTTTGGCGTCCATGAGCTGCTTCTGGAGCTGGTCCATCGCCCCGCGCTATTCCCTGGAAGCCCCGAGCTCGTCGATCTTGTCGAGGAAGGCCTAATCCCACTCCTTTTTCGCGGCGTGCTCGTCACCGCCGTCGACGTCGGTGTCGTGGAAGCCTTCCGCCTTGGCCAACGCCAAAGCAGCTGCACGCTTCATCTCGTCGGCATCCGTGAGCTTCCTAGCTGCTGTTTTCTCGTTGCCCTTACCTGCCACAAGATTCGCCCGCAAGTTGGTAACACAAACAACAGCTTGATCTGAAGATGCTCAGCATGCCGATACATACCATCCAGCAGAAGTTGGAGCCGCCGTAGCTTCCTCCCCGAGGCACTTGATCTCGGACTGGAGCGTGATGGTGAGGTGTTCATCCTGCGTGGTGTTGAGGGCCTCCATGGGAAGGGATGCCATTTAAGACTGCTCGCTGCGTTCTTTGCCCGAGCGATTCGAGCCAATGGCTTGCCGCGCCCTCAGAGGAGGGAAAGGTATTGCGTGACGTCCTCCCGTTTTCCTCTTGACTCCGCTCCAGGAAGAGTTTCTCGTCGCACTCGTAGAAGCCGTCGTCCTCGTCGTCATCTTTTGGGATCTGCCACGACATCCGACGATATCTGAACGGGACGCGAGCGTGCTCCTTGGCCTTGCCCTTGTAGAGCGTGAGCGTGGTAGAGCACTTGCTGCACTTCGTCCTGTTCATAGTGATGATACTATTCCACTCGCATGTCCTGCGCTGGTCGCACCTGGTCCAGAGCTGCGCCATGACTGGAAAGATATGTGTCTCTGTCTTAGTCGTGGGAAGGGGGATCTCGACGAACCCTCCGAAGTCCCTCAAGCACTTCGTGGAAGTGCAGAGGCCTTGGGCGAAGGCCAAAACGGTCAGAGCCAAAGTTTCTTGAGATGAGGTGGGATGGGGAGGAGAGAGGGGCAGAGCGAGTTGAAGGAGAAGGGCAGGAGAGGAGGAGGAGGATGTGGAGGTGGAGGGGGAGAAGGAGGGGGGAGTTTGTGCTGGAGGATTTGGCGCCCGTTCTCCACCAGTTCAAGAGCGACCTCATGAGCAAGGCTCGCCGCGATCTACCAGTCGATCCTCTCTCCTCTCTCCTCTTCGATTCTGCCAGTTGCACCGTCGGCGTGCTAGCATCCTCCCCACAGTGCACCGTTGCCGAGGCGCAGGTTCTGAACGAAGCTGAAGCAGATCGTTCGAAGGCTCACTGCAGCGCTGGGCAGGGCCAATGGCGCACGGAGTTCCCGGCAAGAAGGATCCAAAAATAGGGCAGAGAAGATGTTAGTCATCGAGCAGTTCGCCTGGAAACTATCCCCCAGAGATGCCCAACGAGTCCTCGTGGAGTCCGAATATGCCGTTCCGTTGGAAAACGATCGAAGAGTATCTACAGGTCTTCTCGGACGAGGCCGCGGAGGTTCAGTCATCCAGGGACGTCTTGTTTACATGTAGGATGACGATTAATAAATGACTGGGGGTCGTGTTGCGTCGGCGGCGCCCCGGAGGATAAAAAAAAACCGTCCGCGGGCTGGGATTTGATTTTTCCCCATCAGACAGGTTTGGGCCGCTAGATTTTAACAAGAGACCTCCCGGCCACTCCCACCCTGCATATCGAGGCCGCCAGACCCCAATTTGTTTCGAGTGCACTGGTTATCCCGCCTCGCGCCCTCGACAAACACGACAGAACACACCCTGCATACCGCGACCGCCAGACCCCAAGTTGTCCCGAGAGTCCCGGTTATCCAGCCTCGCGCCCTCGACAATCACGACAGAACACGCCCTGCACACCGCGGCCTCCAGACCCCAAGTTGTCCCGAGTGTCCCGGTAATCCCGCCTCGCACCCTCGACAAACACGACAGAATACAATATGACACAACAGGACATGAAAGAACAGAGCAAGAGCATAACAGAACATGGCAGAACATAACATATCAATACCATGACAAAATGAAGTACACCAGTAAATCACATAACATACCAGAGCAGAACATGACATAACAGAAAACGACATAACACAACAGTCTATAATGCAACCGACCATAATAGCGGCGAGCACGTCACAACACAACATGCCACACCAGAGAACAACATAACATAGCACGAGCATGCCATACCATTACAGAGCATGGCATAGCAATTTCATGACAACAAAGAGCATGAACATGATATAACATCAGATAACACATTAATGCCATAGCATGGTAGAACAGAAGGCGACATAACACAACATGCCATACCATAACCGAGGAAACCATAAGACACATTGGCATAACATCCCATATTATTGCAATCCATGTCAGGACATATCATAACACGACAGTATAGAAGATTGCCACTAGCATAGCAGGTTCGACTCTAGTATATTGTGCCGAGTTGTCCACACACAGCATTACAGAGCATACCAGAGCATAACATTGTATACCATAACGACATAACACAAACTAACATACGACCACTGATCATAACATAACACACTATGGCAGGACACGCCATATCATGGCACAGCATCGCATGACGTATCATAACACGGCACCAGAACATTGCGAAACTTACTATCAGAGCAGATCATAATATCATAGGCTGAGCCGAGCATTCAACAACATCACGGAACAGAGCATACTATAACGTAAGCTGCCATCCTATCATGCAATAACATAGCGCCGCAACGCAGATCTTACCATAGCATCACCAACAATATGGTGACAACTATGAGCATAACATAGCATAGTTAACCGGAAGAGAAACTTATAGGTGAAGAGGGGCATCACCACAGACCACGCATCTAACGTCACAGGCGTCACGACGTCACGCCAACCCATCGACAACAGCAGAGGAGATAACAGAGCATAACATGAAAGACCGCTACTACATGGAACACGGTTGAACCGTTCTTGAATACAGAAACGGCAGTAGTGCAGTTGAGGGGAGGAGTACCACGACAGAACAGGACATAGCAACACATACGGACATATCATACCAGACTTTACTATAGTGAGCCGAGCCGGCAACACCATCACGGAACATATCATATCATATAATAAGTTGAGGGAACTATCATGCCCGAGCATGGTGCCTGTTGGTAGAGTACAACTTAACGTACCAAAGTACAATGAGGCGGAAGCGTGCATGACAGAGCATATTTTCATGGATGAGATAACGGAAGGGCAGAGGGATATCGTAACATCCGTTGTACATTTTGGTCACCGCCGCCACGGGAATCAAGAGTCACATCAATGAGCGATACGACGATGTTTCTAGCGTGACAAGCGTCACGACGTCACGCCGGCTCGTCGATATCATAACACCATATAACACAACGTTATATCTTACATGGGGGCATAATCCGACCACACACACAGTTTCGCACAACACCTCGTATACAGTAGCCACACCTTGACGGTGTCGCCCAGGCGTCACGACGTCACGCCGGCCCGTCGAGAACATAACTGGAGATAATAGAGCATCACATGTTAGAGAAGTACTCCATGGAAAACTGTCCAACGCTGTTGAATACAGCAGCGGCGGTAGTGGAGAGGAGGTCCACGGCAGAACAGGGCTCTCACATGACACATTATTACAGAGCATATCATAACACGACATCATAACATATCGACATTGGGGCAATATCGGATTAAACATACTATAGCAATATTACGTACACGCCAGCTACCACTGCGCAGCGTTGTCGTGTTCCTCGCCCTGCACGTCAGCCGTGCCGAGGTACTTTCATTGGATGGTCCACTTCGTTGTCTGTCCAGCTTCACCCCCGAATCATCGTCGCGCCACTCCACCTGCCCATCCTCTTCCTCTTCTTATTCCTCTCCTCCTCCTCCTCCTCCTCCTCCTCCTCCTCCTCCTCCTCCTCCTCTCCCATCACGCGCCCCCGCCCATCCCTCCTCCTCCTCCTCCCCTTCCTCCTCCTTCCGTAGCCATCTTGGCTCAAGATATTGTTGTCCCTCGAGCAAGAAGCGGATACATCTAGTCCGAGGCTTGCTCCCGTTTCAGGCGACCCCAATGGAGTTGCGCGCTGCTGGGGCCAAGAGTCTGCTTCCTCGGACACGATCCCACCGGTCCGATCGGGTGCGACCTCCCGCGCCCTGCTGTCCATCGCATCGCTGACCCTGGGGCGGATGTTGATGCGGATCGTGCGGGCTCCAATTCTGGCGCTTCTGCGGGACAGCCACGGTCGGCATCGCGCAGTGGAGGGGTCGTGGATCTCGACGCGCCAACCGCGTTGCCGCCGCTGCCGCCGCTCGCGCCGGCCGTGCTCGCGCCGCTGATCGCGGGCGCGCGACTGGAAGAGACGGCCCGCCAGGTGCGGCGTCCTCTGCCTCGCACCGCGGCGCGGACCCTTCCGCCTCGCCAGGAGGCTTCTCCTGCGAGCAGATGGAGCAGCTGGCCCGCGACTTCGACGCGGCGGCGACATTCCCCGACTCGCCGCCCCAGCAGACGCCGCAGACTGCCCCAGCTGGCGTTCCGCAGGGAGGCCCCTCGGAGCCACGCGGTGGCGCGGGCGCCCGCGGCCCTGGCCCCTGGCAGCAGCACCTTGCCTCTGGCGGCCCCCCCCCGGCGCCTGCTCGGGGGTCCCTGCCCGAGGTTGCCGCGGCGAGGGCAGCGCCCCCGCGGTTCCCGGCGGCGGCTCCTGGCTCTCGGCTGCTGCCCGGGGCTGGCGACCACCCTCCGACGCAGCAGCAACTCATCCAGCAGCTGCAGGCTGCCATCCTCAGCAGCGCGGGCGCCTCTCTCTCCGTGGGCCTGGCCCAGATCTCCACGGCCATGGAAGCCCGCGTCGGCGCTGTCGAGCAGCTGGTCGCCTCCATGGACCAGCGCGCGGCCCTCGTGGAGCAGCAGCAGCGCGCAGACATGGCGAAACTCAGGGAGGAGATGGACCTGCTGGCGAGCTCGGAGCCGCTGCCCGCTCCTGCTGGTCTCTACTGGGACAGGGGGCCCGACTCGGCGGCGGTGGTCCTGCGCTGCATGGAGGACCTGCCCAAGGACGCCTTTCCGGCGGCGGCGGCGGCGCCGCTGCTGGCGGACGCGGGCCCGGGCGCAGACAGCTGCCGCGTCGACGCGGGGCCCCGTCGGCAAGCGCTGCGCCTTGCGCTCCAAGGGCGCCCCCGAGCTGGCCGCCCGTCGCCCCCGCAAGGTCCTGGGCTGCATGCGCATCGGTCCTGGCGAACGGAGGCGCCCCCGAGGCTCCGCGCCCGCTGGCCGCGAGGCGGGCGTCTCGGTCTCGGCGGGCCAGAATCGCAAGCAGGTGGCCCACGAGCTGCTACTCAGGCGCCCAGCGCTCGCTCTAGGTCGGGCGGCGAGACGGCGCCGCCGCGTCTTCGTGGACAAGGCTGCGCGTTCTCTCGCGCTCTCTTGGCGGCCCCCCCCGCGGGTCTCCATCGCCAGCCCCATCGGCCACCCCGCAGGTCCACTGGTCGCCCGCGGCTCTCCAAGAGCTCGAGATCAATCGCGCTGGCTTCGAGCCCGCCGCGGCGGCGGAGCTGGCGCCGCAGGAGGCGTCTCGTAGCCAGTTCAAGCGGCTCTTCGGGGAGCCGCAGGAGGAGGCCGAGCTGCGCTTCGCGACCTGGAGCGCGAGGGCCTTCTGCCACCGCCAGCCGCACGCGGCCAAGACGAAGATCGATGACATTCTCCTCAAGCTCCGTGCAGGGGCAATCCTCGGCGCGCAGGAGGTCCACGGGTCGGCCGCGCGCCTGCGCGCGCTGAATGATGGCGCGGGGCTGGACTGCATGTTTTTTTCCCCCCAGCTTCGACTGCTCGGGGAACGAAGCGCCGGGCGGGGTGGCCGCGGCGTTCCCCTTCCGGGCCCGTCCTGATTTTGGTTCCTTCATCGCGTATATGTTTGTGCCGGAGTTTTGCGAACGAGCGCTGTTGCGGAGTCTGGGGCCGACGCGGGCTACTCTTTCACCCGCTGGAACCCGCGCGACCACGACCTCTCGCGGGTGCAGGCATGACGAGTTGCTGCTGCCATTCGACGGGATCTTCTGCGCATGGAGAGCGATCCGCTCAAGCATGTTCTGATCATCTCGGGGGACTTGAACTGCGGGGAAA